GTATCTACATATAACCCCCTCCCTAGTGAATACACAACAGAAAAGTGGGTGAAGGGAGACAGTGGTCAGCATAAGATATGAAAATAATAATTTATAATTTATCAAGGGGTCACGGGGGGGTGGGGTGGGGGGGTGGAAAGAGGGGATGGAGGGGAAAATGAGGAGTTGATACCAAGGGCTCAAATAGAAAGTAAATGTTTAGAAAATTATGATGGCAACATATGTACAAATATGCTTGATACAATTGATGTATGGATTGTTGTAAGAGCTATAAGAGCCCCCAATAAAATGATCTTTAATAAAAAAATGAAATGGACCACATAAAGGTCATACCCTAGGCATTAATGAGCTGAAATAGACTGGTATTGGCCATTGGCATCAGAAAATCATATAGTTGACAGATTCAAGTGTTGCAATCACCGTCAGAAAGGACATTTCAGGATCCGTCTTGACGTACAAAGCGGTCTGTGAAAAGATAATGTCTGGCTTCATGCAAGGAAATCCGAACAATACAATGTTATTCAAATTTATGCACCGAACCCTAGAGCTAGTGATGAAGAAATTGAAGGCTTTTACCAACATCTTCAGTCTGAAATTGACCAAACAAGCAATCAAGATACACTGATAATTATTGGTATTTGAAATGCACAAGTTGGAAACAGAAGAAGGAACAGTGGTTGGAAAACACAGCCTTGGTGACAGAAATGAAGCAGGAGATCACATGATACGATTTTCTAAGACTAGTGACTTTATAATCCATACCGAAAGCTACAACCCTTGATATTCATCAGGTAATGCATCCGGTCTTCCTCAAGGCTAAGTCATCTGTGTGGTTGTTAATAAGCCTTCCTTCAATCTTAATGCTGCACTGTTCTTCATCTATTCCAGCGTCTCTGATAATTTGTTTAACATACACATTAAAAGAACAAAATCCTCATAAGGATCAATAGGGAACAGCAAGGTATATGGAGAAAAGGTTGAAGTTCATCTTGCTTAAATCCACAATTAACGCTCATGGGAGCAGCAGTCAAGAGAGCAAAAGACGCACGGCAACAGGCAAAATGAGCTGCACAGACTTTTTTAGAATATTGAACACCCAAGGGTGCTACTTTGAGGACTAAGAAGCACCTGATCGAAGCCAGGCTCTTTTCAATTGCCTCATATGCACACGGAAGTCAGGCTTTGAATAAGGAAGAGTAAGAACTGATGCATTTCGATTGTGGTGCTGGGGAAGAATATAGAAAATATCATTGTGGTAGTTACATCATTTCATGTCAACTTGGTAAATAACTGTAGGGCTAGAGGTTAGCCTGTCAGTCAGACCACAGCCTGATGGTGCTTCCTAATGGGCGAGGCCTTCTCATGAGGTTTCTGGAAACTTTCCTCTCTGTTTCACCTTCCTGTTGACAAGCCATGTGGAGCCGCACTGAGACCTGAGCAATAGGGACCTGTACAAGGCCAGTGCTGCTTCTACCGCTATTGGATCCACCAGACTTTTCACCCACTGGCCTGTGACCTTCTTGCGTTTTGCATCATTGCATGGGCTGTGTGAGTATGAAGAGGGATTTATGGACCAGTATGGGACTTATGGTCTAAAATCAGACTTATGGACTTGATCTGGATTGGGCAGGGATGTATCATTAATATACAATTAATCTATGATAGAAAGCTCTTATACATATATGAGTGTCTCTGGATTTGTTTCTCTACGTCAACCTGGCCTGACACAACCATGGGCTGCTAAATGACAAAGTGATCTGTCTTAGAAGTACAGTCAGAGTGCTCCTATGAGGCAAAGATGGCAGACATCATCTTATATCTTGACATGTCAGGGAAACCAGTCCCTGGAGAAGGGCATCGTGCTTAGTAAAGTGGAGGGATGGTTAAAGCAGAAGGAAATTAAACGAAGTCCAAGAGAGCCAAAATACGATATTGAATATATCCCACCTGCATTTTGTGCACATTTCAAGAACAGATTTGAAGCACTGAACATTAATGACACACGAAGAAAGCAAACGGTGATGAAAAAGGCAGAAAAGGAAGAAAAGACCAAACAGGATGTCAATAGGAACTCTGAAACTTGCCCTTCACCATAAAGTAGCTAAGGTAAACAGAAGACATGGTGAAGTCAAAGAGCTGAAAGGGAGCTTTCAAAGGGCAGCGTAAGAAAACAAAGTATTATCATGAAACATGCAAAGACCTAGAGTTAGAAAACCAAACGGGAAAACCACATTCTCATATCTGAAACTGAAAGAACTCAAGGAAAACCCAAGCTTTGAGTTGCAATATGGAGAGATTCTTTGCTTCAAATACTGAATGAAGCATCAAAAGAAGACAGAAGAATACACAGAGTCACTGTATCCAAAAGAACGACTTGGCATTCAACCATTTCAAGAGGTAGCATATGATCAAGAACCAATGGTACCGAATGAAGAAGTCCAAGCTGCACTGAAGGCATTAGCCAAAACCAAGGCTACAGGATTTGACGGATTACTAACGGAAATCCTTCAACAAGCTGTTGAAGCACTAAGAACACTCACTAAACTATGACCAAATATTTGGAAGAGATCTATACTTGTACCTATTTCAAAGAAAGGTGACTCAACAGAACGCTCAAATTATAAAACAATATCACTGATATCACATGAAAGTAAAATTTTGTGGAAGATTATCCAACAATGGTTGCCGCAATACATTGACAGAGAGCTGGGAAACATTCAGAAAAACCAATGTGTCTAGAAGAAACAGTCTAGACTAGTCTAAACAAACTGCTGTCGAATCCACTCCGAGGCCAGAAGAACTGGCGCCACCACACAGACCATTCTCACCAGCCTTACTGCACTGGCCGGAGGGCGCCCCAAGGCCGCTGCCCTGAGATATTCTTCAAACTTTGAGCCCAAACTAACCCTTGAGGCCACCTCGTAGATACACCACGAGTTGGCTGAAAAGTAATGAGTAACATCGGAAAGTATGGCACTCCTTTAAAAAGTCACTATATGAGACCCAACGGTCAACAATTACATTTCAAAACAACGATGAGAACGTAAAGGGGAGCAGATGAATAGAAACTAAGCAACCGGACTGGATATAATGAGACTAAGCAAAGCGTGAAAAGGATGTAACCAGTGTCTAATGTCGCTGAACATTTTGTGTAGAGAATGCTGCATAGGAACTACACCTGACACGTTACTCATTACCCAGACACAATAACATATTATTTACGCGCGCGCGCGCGCGCACACACACACACACCCCTCACCTTTTCCTTTGTTCTCAACTCATCAAACATTTGTTGAATTTCCAGTTTCCAGTCATCTTGCAACGAATGAAAAGATTCTTGAGGCAATTCAGTCATAACAGCTCCCTCAATAGCAGTCAGTTGTTCCAGAATTAAGGCAAACGATGGACGAATATGAGGGTCTTGTTCCCAGCATTCTAAAATAAACCAAAATCATTAATCCCATCTCTCAGCATAATTTAAATGATCTCCAAGATACACCCTAAGACATGTTTTAGATGGAAATATTTTCTACTTAGCATTACAAAAACAACCCTCCCCCCCCAAAAAAACTCACTGCCATCGAGCCAATGCTGATTCACAGAGACTCTCACGCACCCCCCCCCCACTCCCCCCACTCCCAAGCCCCACGCTGGGTCTCCGAGAGTGTAACTGTTTACATGAGGAGTAGAAAGCCTAGTCTTTCTCCTGCAGAGCTGCTGGGGGGGTTCTAACTGCCAACCATGCCGATCCAAATCCAACACATAACCACTACAATACGAGACCTCCACAAACCCCAGGTCCATGCTGCATATGTCTACTGAAGATTTTTTTAAGAACCTATTGATGATGTTTAATGATTTGATACAGTGTCTCAGTTAAAGACATGCATGGACATTACTATTAAATGAGGCTGCTGTTGTCACTATTATATTGCACTTAATAGATGACCACAGTGCATGGATTTCATGTGTTACACTGGATTGGAAAGGCCTAATTTTTCCCGGGCAGATGATTTAGTGGTCCAGGGTTCTATAATCCAAGAAAGCTAAAGTCTCTGAAACGCCATAGGCACAAGAGACTTTCTAAGAAATAGCCTCATGAAGCAAAACGTGGAGCTTGCTTACAAAATCAATGAGTTGGTCATTTGAGAAAGGACCCAGACTGTAAAACGCTTATGTTTGTAAAACATTACATGAGCCACGTCTTCCTGAGCAGGCCGCTTTGTGATTGATGCAAAGTGTTTATTAAATTTTGCTCCGTGTAAAAAATAAACAAACAGATGAAATTTAAAGCAGTGGGTCTGGAGTCAATTGAATAGTATGCTTGGACTCCACCATTGTACTTGGTTACGATTAACACTCAGTTGAGTTTTTATGCATAAATGAGTCATTCATAAAAGTGGACTGCTTTTAAGGAACCCTGGTGGCATAGTGGTTATGCGTTGGGCTCTAAACTTGACGTCAGCGGGGGCTTTCTGCTTCCACGAGCAGTTAACAGGGTCGCAGAAACCTATCTGAGCAACTCTACCCTGACCTATGGGGTGGCCGTGAGCCCGAATTGACTCGATGGCAGTGAATTTTGAATGAGTGCATAAAAACTTAACCTCGTATCTTAGATCAAAGGCGAAGTATAATTACCAAAAAGTAGGTGGAAGTTAGAATCACAGAAACTACTGCTTTTGGTTGATGGCTTTGCACTTACCCCCCACCAAGACACGACTACAGAGCTTACACAATTACCTTTCATTAGCTTAGCAAATGGCTCAGGACAGGTAGATGGAATGGGCAGAGTAAGCTTATTGACGGCCACCCCGTAAGCCACAGCAAGACTGTCGATGCCCCGATAGGGAGCTTCTCCTGTGAGCAGTTCCCACAACAGCACTCCATAACTATAAGGCAAGTTTTTCATAAAGTTAAAATGAGTCCCATGCTGTCTTTTCCTTATGGCCTAATGGGCAGAATAACTTCATTATTACTTTAATTTCACGGCTAATAATACAATCCTTTCTCTTCTAGCAAAGTCCATAAGTGGCTATTGCCCTAATATGACAAGTGTGCTCCTCTGGTCGGCTGTCAACACATGCAAAGCCCCTTCTGGAAACCAGGTACACAGTCACGGTGGGTAGGAACTAAAATTACCTAGTGGGTAAGGAAAGCTTAGATGCAGTACAAAACGCAATCAAACCATCTGAGTCAGTCCACATGTTAATAGTAATGTGACGATTTGGGTAAGACTTATCAAAAGAATCTGTTTCTTCACATTTTTCCACGGTAAGATAAGGACATTTGGGGGCTATTAAGATATTAACCCGGCCACAAAGAAATCTCATGTTACACACCATAGGGCTGAGAAAACATTTAAAAAGTTTTTGAAATTGTTCCATCTTTCTGGCCTTACCTCTATATTTTAGGGCATGCGGTTTGTTTGGGTTTTTTTAAATCATTTTTTTTGGGAGCTTGTACAGCTCTTATCATAATCCATACATCCATACATCCATTGTGTCAAGCACATCTGTACATTTTTTGCCCTTATCATTCTCAAAACATTTTCTTTCTACTGGAGCCCTTGGATATTTTTTTATTTTTGAGCCCTTGGTTATTGGCTTCTCATTTTTTCCCCTCCCTCCTCTACCCTCCCCCATGAACCCTTGATAATTTATAAATTATTATTATTTTTTCATGTCTTACACTGACCAATGTCTCCTTTCACCTACTTTTCTGTTGTCCGTCCCCCTGGGAGGGGGTTAGGGCCTGTGTTTCTAAAGTTTCCATTATATTGATTACAGTAACCAGCAAAAGAAATCAATGGAGGCTTTTGAGCTTAGCAAGCTGGTAGAACATAGCATTTCTCCAGCAATTAGAATGAAGAATGCCAGGTGTCAGCAGTGCAGATGGGATGCAGGAATCACTGATATTGCTTCTGGAGTTCTTCAGAGGTAAAGACAATTACAAACAAGACAAGCGAACACATAACACAGAGATTTTCAGAATGAATTTCTCTTGTTCCTAAAGGGATTTTTAAGATGAAACTGAATGACCAAATTCATGACACATGATAATTTTAAGGAACCCAAAATTTAATTTAGCAAATCTGAGCATAAAAATAGACCTAAAAAAAAAATAAAAGAAAAAAAAATAGACCTGTAATACATACTTTCTTCTATTTTTAATTCAATTAATATAAACAGTAAGTTCTATTCATATCCAAATCCTTTAAAACCTCGATAATATTAAGTTTAAATAATGTTCTAGATTTAGTGAAGCATCTTAATTTTCATTTCTCTCTTTTAAAAAAAAATTCTTCTCTTATACTTCAAGTATTGTATTAAAGATATCAGAGAAGGTGTGCAAAAGGAAAAGGAACTACTTATTTAAGGACAACCAACAGAAGTCAGAATAGTAGCAACATATTATTGAAATTTGGATGCAGACTCCATGAGTCTCATTTGATTCTTCTCCAATCTTCCATGACGTGAATACAACCTTAAAAGCCTTACATGTGAAGTTCCACTCTCCACAGAGCTCGACAACTATTTGGATTCCAGGCTCATGCCACACCTGGATATAATAAATGTAAAGGCCTCTCCATCAAGTGCCACCAAATCATATAGAGCCTAGACTATGTGCTGAAGTCATAGAAAAGAATTTAGGACACAACAGATTGTGCCCAGAGGGGCCTTAAGTGCCATCAAATCAGTTCCAACCCATAGCAACCCCATGCACAACAGAACAAAACATGCCCATGTTTTGCCCCATCCTCACAATTGTTCCTCACGTTTGAGCCCATTGTTGCAGCCGCTCTGTCAATCCATCTCTTTTTGACTGTCCCTCCAGGGACCTAGTATGCTATCCTCCAGGGACTGGTTTCTCCTGACAACATGTCCAAAGTCTATAAAATGAAGTGTCATCATCCTTGCCTCGAAGGAGCACTCTGGCCATATTTTTTTTCAATAGATTTGTTTGTACTTGGGCAGTCCATGGTTCCTTCTTTCTTTAAATCATTTTATTAGGGGCTCATACAACTCTTATCACAATCCAGACATACATCAATTGTGTAAAGCACATTTGTACATTCATTGCCCTCACTATTCTCAAAATATTTGCTCTCCACTTAAGCCCCTGGCATCAGCTCATTTTTCCCACTTCCTCCCCGCTCCCCACTCCCTCATGGAACCTTGATAATTTATACATTATTTTGTCATATCTTACACTGTCTGACATCTCCCTTCACCCACTTTTCTGCTGTCTGTTCCCCAGGGAGGAGGTCACATGTAGATCCTTGTAATCAGTTCCCCCTCTCCAACCCACCCTCCTTCTACCTTCCTGGTATCGCCACTCTCATCATTGGTCCTGAAGGGATCATCTGTCCTGGCTTCCCTGTGTTTCCAGTTCCTATCTGTACCAGTGTATATCCTCTGGTTCAGCCAGATTTGTAATGTGGAGTTGGGATCATGATAGTGGGGGGGAGGGGGAAGGAAGCATTTAGGAACTATAGAAAAGTTGTATGTTTCATCGTTGCTACCCGGCACCCTGACTGGCTCCTCTCTTCCTCGGGGATGTCCAGTTGCCTACAGATGGGCTTTGGGTCTCTAGTCCGCACTCCCCCTCATTCACAATATGATTTTTTGTTCTGATGCCTGATACCTGATCCCTTCGGCACCTCATGGTCACACAGGCTGGTGTGCTTCTTCCATGTGGGCTTTGTTGCTTCTGAGCTAGATGGCTGCTTGTTTACCTTCAAGCCTTTAAGACCCCAGATGCTGTATCTTTTGATAGCCAGGCTCCATCAGCTTTCTTCACATTTGCTTATGCACCCGCTTTCTCTTCAGCGGTTGTGTCAGGAAGGTGAGCATCATAGAATGCCAGTTTAATAGAACAAAGTATTCTTGCATTGAGGGAGTACTTGAGTGGAGGCCCAATGTCCATCTGCTACCTAAATACTAAATCTATGTATATATGCACATAGATCTATTTCCACATCCTCATATATAAATATATTTACACATGTACATGCCTTTATTTAGACCTCTATAAATGCCCTTTGCCTCCTAGCTCTTTCCTCTATTTCCTTTGACTTTCCTCTTGTCCCACTATCATGCTCAGCCTTCATGTGGGTTTCAGTAATTCCTCTTGGTTATATTACCCTTGGTCACACCCTACCAGGCCTCTTACACTCTCCTCACCTCCTTCTAAGGAGGCTGCATGTTGGTGAGGAGCCTTGCGGGTGCCTGTATAAACCTGAAGCTTCTTCTAACTCTCATAAAACTCACTTGGATCACAACCCAGGCTTTGGCATGAATTCTTTCTTGCACAGAGCCAAGGACCAAGTATATCTCTCCTCTGAGAGATGTAACTTTCTATTCCTGTAAAATTTTCGTCTGGGAAACCTACAGGGGTGGTTCCACTCTGTTCTATAGGGTCATTATGAGTCGGAATTAACTTGATGCAGTGAGTACCCCTACTCACCAAAGTAGGCTATAGAACAAAGCCATGGTATGTGAGTGGAACTTTTTAATGGGAAGAGTATAAAACAATAGTATGGGCTGTTCAGAGTAAGGTCCAGCTGTGCGTGGAGCAGCATCTGGCCATTACGAGCATCTCCTTCCCATGATTCTCTTCACCCCTCCATCTTCCCAAGGACGCCAGATTCCTGTGCTTGTCAGAATTTATGTGCCCCCTCCCCCTCCTCAAACTTGCCAATCAGGAGCAGATAGACAGAGCCTTCCCAAACCTACTTATCGACCACAGTCCCGAGGGTAGATTAGTGGTGCTGTCTTTGTTTCCCCTTCTGGCCCGGATCTCCCTCTTGCTTGCTCTTGCCCCTGGCTACTCTGATACTTCTGTTTCTCCAACCTCTTCGCTCTGCCTCTTTGCTCTCCCTTCTAGTCTGGGAGAAATCCACAGGTCCTGTTTTCCAAATAAAGCCTGTTAATCGATACTCATTTTCTGTTCCAGTCTATCATTTCTAGCATATAGATGACCCTCCTGACAAGCTATGAGTCTGTGTTAGTCAGGGTTGACCAGAGAACCAAATCCAGGGAGACCCTCATATGTGTATAAGAGAGAACTTTATATCAAAGAGCAATTGTACATTAAGAAAACACCCCAGCCCTGTCCAGATCAAGTCCTTAAGTCCAATATTACCCCATATGTCCGATACTAGTCCATACATTCCTTTTTAGACTCACGCAGCCATGCAATGATGCTGCATGCAGGAAGATCACAGGTCAGTGGGTAGAAAGTCTTGTGGATCCAGTGGTGGTAGAAGCATCTCAGCACTGCCATGGGTCTCCATATGGTTCTTCCGGTTCCAGGGCTCTGGATTTGTCAGCATAGCTCCATGTGGCTTGTCAACAGGAATGTCTCACAGGGAGTCTCTGTGTCCTGCCTCCAGAGAGCTAGAGCTATTTATGTCCTTGGTGCTTCCAAAGGAGGTCATCAAGCTGCCACCTGATTGACAGGCTAGACTGCACCCCTTTGCAAGTTGACAGTCACTGCCACAGACTCTCGGATGTTTTATTAGATCAATGCATTCTGGAGATAAATAGGGGTATTTTGCCTGCATAACTATGTAGTCCCTGAGATTAGTGTTGTTAGTCTTTTTCATAGTATATTATGCCTCCCCCGCCCCACCTAGTTTGCTTTTGGCTATTATTTTTTATTACTACTAGTTTATCTTCCCTTCCAAATCTTCTAATTTTCTTCCTTTAGTGAAAGATAATCAAGCTTTATAAAAATGAGAATAAACTACAAGTGAATGGAATTTGAGAGATCTCCAATCAGTAGATGGCTTTGAGGGCACAGCTGGCTGATTTTAGAAGTTTTTGCTGTTGTTGTTGACCTACTGATTCTCTTCTACTTTTGTATAAGATATAATTTCACATAATTATAAATAGCCTCCAAATTTATTATTCTAATCTTAAAATGGATTCATTATGTATTTTGATAATGCTTAGTCTTAAAGTCAAATTCTTAAACGAATGGCCTGTTTCACTTATGAACTTTGGTATTTTATATGACCAAAACATACTCATTGGCAGGACTTAAAAAAACCTCAGCGTTGGCATCAACACAAATGAAAACCATTTTCTCAAACTTTAGATTGAACAGGCACATTTTCCTGTCCCATGTTTTGGTCAAAACCAGAAAAAAGCAACCCCCTCCCTAATAAAAAACCTTCTTCAGAAAGGCAAAAAAACCCAGCCTCCCCTAACCCCCCCAAAACCCCACCCTTCTTCAAAAAGGCAAATGCCCCAAATTACTGAGTACCGGGGCAGGGGGGGGGGGGGTTCATTTAAATGAAACAGAGCAGCCAGTTTCTGCAAGTATTTGCAGACACAAGGTCAACGGAGCTTGCTTACCTCCAGACATCACTTCCTTTAGAAAACAGGGAGCACTTGATGACTTCGGGCGCCATCCACGCATAGGTGCCAGCAGCACTCATTTCGGTAGTCCTGTGCCACTCCCTTGCGAGCCCGAAATCCGTAATCTTCAATGTTTTATTCCAGATGTCATCATCCCGCTCTATCTTCTCCAGGAGCAAAACTAAAGGAAAATCCCAAATGGGATATTAGTTTACTATCGTGGGATGATTCACTATTATTTTAATTCGCAAATCACTTTCTTTCCCCACATGAAAACATAACTGCCAGTGTGGTTGACAGAGTAAATGCGACGGGCTTATATTTTACTATTTTATCTTATTTCCTAAGCATCTCTCGTAACGACCTTGAATACGGTTCATGTTTAGAGGTTCATCAGTGCTAAAAGTTACAGGGACTGTATGTGTGTGTTTTGAATTGTCCAGAGACAATTCAAGTTAGCACTGGAGTGTTCTAAGTCCGTGAAGGTTTACCTACGAGGGAAAAAAAATGTTTTCTTCAAAAAAAATTTACTCCTACTTTCCCCTGGGGCTATACTTGCATAACCTCCTTTTCTCAGCAGTATGTTAAATTCTAGATGTGGGATAAAGTGAGAAGCTATCAAGGGAATTGCCTTATGCCCCAGGGGGATGATAGATAATGTTCTTTATCATAAAATGATTATGAGATCTCTAAAGTGAACCAGAGACCCAGAGACTGACACGATTCAGGGTAACCACTTAATTCTAGCCCCAGGTCATGAACCTTTCTTTAGTTCTTATGCCCCGGCCTTGCTCTGACAGTCCCCTTCCAGAAAAGATCACTGAAGGTCAAGGTGCTACAGCAATGTGCGGGGAGGAAACCAGATGGTGCCCAGCTCCTGCGTAGAATAGCGTCTGGGGTCTTAAAATCTTTTATTCAAACAAGCAGCCATCTAAGTGAGGCGTCAACTAAGTCCACATGGAAGAAGCACACCAGGCGTGTGATCCTAAAATGACCCAAAACAAAATCCCAATATGATAGAGGGAAAGGTATAAAAGCTTAAAGGTTGTAGAGGTCAGTGGGAGCGCCAAACCCACCTACCACGTCCCCTTGGGGATTAAGCCTCTGGCAGATGCCCTCTAAGCAGTTGAGGGACTCGACCAGCTTTGCCTTCAGACAGAGATTATTGTAAACTTGCTTATGGTGGATAGAACTATGGTCTAATATGATACCTGATCATTTGACCTCCCTCTTGATGCATCAAGTATTCTGTTTAAATATATTTTTTTGCTTGTTTCTCAACAGAGGTTTTCTCTCTGGCTTATTGCTATTTTAATATACTATCTCCATTCTCTCTTTTTTGTTCTGTTCCTCAGTTTATGAAGCACAGAAGGGAAGGATGTATTGAGACAATAATTGATATACTAGCTTATCAGGGATATGGTGGGAGGGGGGTTGAGGAGATTGGGGAGCAAATGATAAATATGGGAGGATGCACTAGAACTGATTGTGGTTATATATATATACATATATACATATATATATATATATAAAACTTTTAAAATACAACTGAACTATAGAAGTGTATAACATGTGAATTATATCTCAATCAAACCATTGGGGGAAAACATCATCAAAAGTTATATTAAATAAACACTAAAAAAAAAACCCTTCCATTATATCCTTTAGTTGAGGGTAACGTCCACATCACGATCCTTGGATGATCATGAGCCTCTGTATTTGCACAGCAACCTTTCCAAACTACACTGTAGCCTTCAATAAGTGAGCTTCCTCCGCTGAAACCAGACTGGCATGCATATAACCATCTAGTTCAGGTGTTACCTTCTCAATGATACTTTTCAAATCACCAAAGCAAAGGAAATTATTCCCTCCTCTAGAGTCACAGGAGAAGCTCTGGTAGTGTGGTGGTTATGTGTTGGGTTGCTAACTGCAAGGTCAGCAGTTTGAAACCACCCGTTGCTCTGTGAGAGAAAGAGGAAGCTTTCAATTCCTGTAAAGAGTTACAGGCTTAGAAACCCACATGAGCAGTTCTACTCTGTCCAACAAAGTCGCTATGGGTCAGAATCAACTCATAGCAGTGGGAACACATTTCTAGAGTTACATAGCTTTCTTCCTGTCTCCATTATAGAACTTGTAAAGTACAATGTATTAATTATTATATTTTCAAAATTTTATTTATATACTTTTAAAACATCATTTTATTGGGGACCCTTATAGCTCTTATAACAACCCGTACATCAATTGTATCAAGCATATTTTGTACATATGTTGCCATCATTATTTTCTAAACATTTGCTTTCTATTTGAACCCTTGGTATCAGCTCCTCTTTTCCCCCTTCCTTCCCCTCCACCCACCCTCATGACCCCTTCACAAGTTATAAATTATTATTTTCATGTCTTACACTGACCGACTGCTGTCTTCCTTCACCCACGTTTCTGTTGTTTATCCCCCTGGGGGAGGGTGTTATGTGTTGATCACTGGGATTGGTTCCTCCTTCCTCCCCACACCTTCCCTCCACTCTCCTGGTATCACTACTCCCATTTCTGTTTCTGAGGGGTTTATCTGACCTGGATTCCATGTGTGTCATGAGCTCTTATCTGTACCAGTGTACATGTTCCAGTCTAGCCAGAACTGAAAGGCAGAACTGGGGTCATGATAGTGGGGGGTAAGGATGCCTCAAAGAACCATAGGAATATTATGTGTTTCATCGGTGCTATGCAGAGCCCTGGTTGACTCATCCCTTCCTTGTGACCCTTCTGTGAGGGGATGTCCCATTGTCTACAGATGGTTTTGGGTCTCTGCTCTGAACCCCCGCCCCCCCCCC